ATTTCTGAAGATCATGTGACACTGAAGACTGGAGTAATGATGCTGAAAATACAGCTGCGCATCACAGAAATACATTACAGTTTAACAGATATTCACATAGAACACAGCTGTTTGAAACTGTAATAATATTTCACTGTTTTGACTGTATAAATGCAGCTCTGGTGAGCAGAAGAGGCTTCTTTCAGAAACACTCACTGACTCCAAACTGTTGAGCGGTAGTGTATAACCTCATATTGAAAGTGAAAAGTGAAAGTGACATGTGGCCAAGTATGGTGACCCATACTAGGAATTAGTGCTCTGCGTTTAACCCATCCAAAGTGCACACACACAGCAGTGAACACACACACACCATGAACACACACCCGGAGCAGTGGGCAGCCATTTATGCTGCAGCGCCCGGGGAGCAGTTGGGGGTTCGGTGCCTTGCTCAAGGGCACCTCAGTCGTGGTATTGAAGGTGGAAGAGAGCGCTGTACATTCACTCCCCCCACCTACAATCCCTGCCGGTACGAGACCTTTGGGTTACGAGTCCGACTCTCTAACCATTAGGCCACGACTTCCCCCCATATTGCTCAAGTACAAATGAAAGGTTTGGTCTGGAGGAGGATTTTAGGATATGGTTTATCAGAACTGCCAAAGATGATGAACGGCAGCCTGTGGCAGTATTCCCTGCGTCGCATGCGTCAGTCTGCACGAGAAGGAGCTGTAAAACTTAGTTTGGAGTTTGAAATGTCAGTCAGGTTTCTCAAGGCTCTGTTTAGACAGCTTATCTGAGCTCTATTTGAGCGCTGTATCTGTATGACCTCTGACCTCTCAGGGAACCCAGAATGGCTTTCCATGTTTATACACACGTTTGACGAGAAGTGTTTGATTTTCTGCTCTGTTCATGGATCAGAACATGCTGGATTTTTTCTCCGTGGAGGAACTTCGTGCAGCATTACTAAAGACTGTTTTATATGACACCTTTTATTCTTAAAAGCTGTGCAAATCTCTCTCAGAAGCACAAAGTCCATATGTGTCTCTCTTCATTTCAGAAAAATGGGATTTATGGGGTTGAAATGGGGTTTCCGTGCGTGTGTGTGTCTGTGTGTGTGTGTGTGTGTGTGTGTGTGTGGTGACTATGTGAAAAGCGATGTGTAAACGTAAAGTCTTCTCTCCTGTGGAGTGGATCAACAGTCCTCCTCCTCCGTCTACAGTGTGACCTTTTCAGGAAATTTCAGGAAATACCCTAATCGTGTTTGGGCCGTTTAATCGTTCTCTTGATATGTATTGGCCTGGAGGATTCAAGCACTCAAGTCTCTTTCCTGTCTCAATCCTCTTACTTCACTGGAATTACTGAATGCATGATTATTTGGAGGAAATGTTACATCTGTTGTTGTACATATATACTGAAATGTACCATATGTGTGTACCAAAAATCAAAAAGCTCAAGCTAAATTAAAAAATCAATCAATAAAGTTCTCCTAAATGAATAAATAGTGTGATCAGACGCATCCAGGTGGTTTTTGAGAGTTTCAGACGGGGATGTGTTGGTGTCTGATGTAACGGTCTCACTTCAGCTCAGTAGCAGCTGATAACACAAAGGCTGTGGGTGGCCCGTCAGCACATCAATGAAGACTTCATCGTGTTCCAGACGGGCTCAGAACAGCAGGAGAGCCTACAGGAGTCAGCCAGAGCCGAAAATAAACCATTCTATTCTGAGTCACTCAAACAGCCACACACGTCACATGATGATTTATTAGCATTTGCTCAGATTTATTGGCTGCTGTCATGTTCTGGTCTTCATTTGTGGCTTTAAGGACATCATAGCTTCATTTGTACCTTCATGAAAAAGAAGTGTGCTTTATTGTATTGAATGTGCACTTGTAGTGTACTTCATAAAAACTACTTGCAGATAATATAATATAAATGAAATAAAAGGCCACTTAAGTGACTTAAAGAGAGACACCTTTGTGCACTTTTGTCAAATATAAAATAATGTCAAAAGTTTGACATTTCAAATCATTGTGTGAATAGTAATTTGTCTTGATTTAAAGAGGTTCACTTATGTTGATGTGACTAACATACTAAAGCAGATGCAAAGTACTTGATTGTCATTTAACTGCAGTGTGCTACTGGATATTACATTTAAAGTTAATATCTTTTAAATGTACTAAATTACAGCTTCAAATATATTTAAATACATGACAGAGACATGACATTAAAGTATATTTTCCATAAAGGTTTGTCAGTACATTCAGCAGTACTTGAACCATATTTGAAAGACAAGAGAAGTAATTATGAAATTACACATAAAGACGTGCTGAACTCCTGCTTAAGTAGGTGAAAAACACTCAGCTAATTGCATTTCATATAAATTTAAACTACATCTTCATTTAATTGCGGTTAATATGTAATTAAGAGTCTGAAAACATTACATTCAGTTCACACGTAAGTATATTCTATTAAAGTATATTATTTCTGTTATAAGTGCTGTTTAAAAGTATGCTAAAATGTGCTTCTTTTTCACTCATCAAATAAAAATGTTCTCCAGAAACTGAACTGAATGGCCTCTAGACTCTCTCGTTAAACATCTGTCAAGCCTCTACAGAAAATGAAAGAATGAGTTTCCAGCAACGTTCTCATGACTGAATCAGCTCTGAGTCACGCTGGACCTCGACTGCTTCAGACGAGCCACCCACGCTCCCTTCTCCCTCTCACAGCCTCACTCCGCATTATTTTCATACAACAGCACCATATTGCCATGGAGATCTTTCCCTGAGCAAGTTAACCTACTTTCTGAAGCCCAGAGCGAGTCCCTGCCACATTGATTTAACTAAAGATCTCACTGATGAAAGGACATGTAGTTTCAGAATCGTTCAGAAACTGACGTGGTTGTGAACTATATGCTTTCAGTTTGTTTTAATGAGAAAATCTCTGGAGCTGCCTTGAAATGTCATATGGCATTTGTTGCTTTTGAGACACAAACCCATCAGACTGTGCCGATAGCTGCAACATGTCCCAGATGTTCTGTGTTGCAGATATGATGTCTTACAGATTGAGTCGTGTCGATCAGCTCCAGGTTAGAACCCATGAATCCCCGACACGAAGCCCGCTCTGAACACAGGAGCTCTGGAGTCTGTCAGAGCCACGGGTCTGTGTCGGACGAGGGTTCGTAAGGTTTATCAGGACCTGCGTCGCTGCTATTTCAGGCTGCTGGACAACAGGAATTTCATTCTCCTTTTATCTTCCTAACCTCACAGGCCTCACAGATAGAGTCAGAACATCCTTCGGTTCTGCTGCACCTATCCTAGACATCTAACATTAGCACGAATGAACTCATCTATTGTGTCGACCGCTGAGGGAATGAGTCAAAGTGAAGAAATCCTCAACACAAAGTCAGTGGTTTGTACAAGGTCCCCCTCACACTGAGTAATGTCTTGTTTAGACAATAAAAAAAAACTTGGTCTCGACTCAATTCCATTATCCAGACTATCAGAGAGAGTTCATCCAAAAATGAAAATACTGTCATCATTTACTCACCGTCATGTTGTTTCAAAGCAAGACGGACTTTCTTTCTTCTGTGGAACACATCTCCAGTGTGATATTTTGAAAGGAAGATATTTTGAGGAATGTTCATTCTGCTCTTTTCTATGAAACTACTAAAGGAATAATTCAGCCAAACATGAGCATTAGCTGAAAATGTGCTCACCCTCAGACCATCTAAGATGTAGATGAGTTTGTTTCTTGTGCTGCCGCTAAACTTTTACTGATAAAGTAGTTTGCATAATGTCGTCATCCATTAAAAAAATCTACCCATTTTAATGCATCAAATTTGAATATTCATAAGCACAATATGTTTCTTATTTGCTGCTGTAGATGGTGTAACACCCTTAAAATTGGCCAGCAATTTTAGGAAAGTCTCTGTCATTCTCAAAACTGAAAGAAAAAAAACATTTAATGCAGATCCTCTGAGAATTACCCCATTCACTATTGAAGCAATACAACATCAGATGTTCTCAGATGTCTGGCAAACTCCTCTAAAATCAGGTGTTTACTCATGTGAGACATGTCTGGTGATTTAAGTGTTACACAACTGCAGGTAATGGCCATTAAATACATGAAGAGCATCCAGTAAAAGAGTGCATGCAGTCACTCCTATGCATGTCCAGCACACAATATATCACAAACACCAGCTCAGTGGACGTCATCAAAGCTGTGAGCTTTTCTCTCATGGCCTCAGAATCATCAGGTTAATGAAGGACTGGCAGATATCGCTGTGAATGCTGAATAAATGAGCAGATCCTGGCAGTGAGAGATGTGTCTCCCTAGAGCAGCTGGCACTACTAATGACTGGTTTCAGTTATGGATCATAATTGTTTGTTGTAATTGTAAATGATTTAGAGCTGAGATGCTGCAGTGATCACGCCCTGCATCAGCCTCACTCTTAAATACTGTGGTGTGTTTCATGTAGAACATGTGCTTGATAAGACATAAGATGACTTAAGATTTCAATAAAGGACAGTTTCAGTCATCACAGTGTTTTTCATGTATTTTATGTGTAATTTATAATGCTATTTTTAAGGCCTCTGAAAATATCTGGTTGATTCACTTTGTTATGTATATTACAGCTTTATTTTATTTATTATTTAATTAAATCGTAATTATAATTTTATTTATTTATTTTAAATAAAGTTCTGTTTAGACCTTATAGTTTGCTCATGTGATAACATCACGTGTGACAACTAGCCCCAGTCTCTCCATACTGATCAAAATCAAGACAAAAATGATTTCAGCAGATTTTTGGAGCTCAGATGTAAGCGGGTCGTGTTCTTGTGATGAATTACAGCTGCTGGGACATAGAATCAACTTAAGAACTTACTGTACTAAAAAAGAAAAATCAGATGTCAGAGTGAGTTCTGTGAAAAGCTCTTGCAGCGTTTGTTTGATAATAACACTTGGTTTAATATCTTATTAACCGATGCAATGACATCCATACACTTGTGTGTGTTTTTTGGGACTACTGTACATGATATCTTTATCTTCTGGTAGATGCACAATACTTGTACATTATTCGTCTTATGCAGCACAACCTGGAACGCCAGACTTCATACAGAGATTGCATTCATACACAGCATCATGATGGGAAACAGCAGATGAGCACTGTGCTGTTTGTGAGGTGGGCTTTGCATCTGAATGCGGAGGCTTGAGGAGGTGGGAGCTCTGCTTCAGCTCGGAGTCGGATTTCAGAGTTTGAGGGAGTCTGGACGAACTGAGACGGCTTTGTTCTCGTGGAGCTGCTGGGTCCCGGCGGGTGTTCAGGAGAGGAGTCTCTGTCGGCGCGAGCGCTGCAGCTTACACCGCGCGTCATGGGGCGAGCGAGCGACTCAGCGCTGAGGTGACCCAGCTTTCCTGAAATTATATTTCATTCATTTGCTTCTGAGAAACATCTCGCATCATCTTCATCTTTATTTCTCATCAGCAGAGTGTGGTGCTGGAGCTTCATTACTGTGTGCATCTGCTCTTCTGCCTCTGCCTTGCAGCACTTTGACTCAGGTATGGCACATCACTCACGTTTCAGAAAATCACAGCAAACGTGTTGATATGCTTTATACAGTCATTCACACAAGCTGCAGAAAATAGTTAGAGGTAGGCTGTGCACGACTCGTTCTTTTGAGTCAGGTCTTTTTTAGTGAATCGGTTCGCAGCTGAATCGGTCCGAGCGGTTCTCGAGACTCATTTAACCGAGAATCGGCTCTTTTGTCGCGCGTCGCGTCGCGGCGTTGTTTTGGTCGTGTGGTTTTGCGTGTGCTGGGAGTGAACTGAGAATCTGTTACTTTAATAACCGATTAACAACAGACATGTTACACATGATGAAACATAATGGAGATAATTACAGGTTTGTCTAATAAACGAAAAGGAGTTGATTTTAATAAACAACAACATGTTATTACTCGAAAAACTTTTTTTTTTTTTTTTGTAGTTGAGACATGCAAATTAATTTTAGTAGCATATTGTAGTTTCTAAATGATTGTTTTTATGAACTGAATCATGGGTGCAACGCTATAAATTTACAAAACGCATATCAATAAAACATAATCAGAAAAACGCGATATGTGATTTCATACGGCTTTATTTAGGTGTTTTGGAGCGTGTGGACTTTGTCATGGTCACGGGATGACGTAATTACGCCATGGCATTAAATAATGGCTTTTGAACCGATTCTTAGAAATGAACTTCGACTGAACCGATTCGCATAAATGAGTCAGACTGCCCAATCCTAGGGGTTACCAAAGAACCTGTTCCATTCCAGTGCTAATCTGTTTCACAAACCACCCAATTATTTGAACAAGAAAATGAGCTGGCAGGAAAAACATTCAATGTTAATGCTTTTTTGTTCGCTCGCAAAAATTCTCTGAAAAAAGTATTGCTTTTCATTCCACATATTATTTTCATCATAAAAGTTTTGCAAATGAACACAAAGGTTCTTTGGGGAATGCAAAAGATTTCCTAGCGAACGCAAAAGCATTGAATTTTTTCTTCTTCTGCCATATAATTTTTTTATGGCCGGGGGTTTCAACT